TGGATTACATTTTGGTCTTACGCTTATCTTCCTTCGGATAATTGCACGCGTGTAATTCCTTCGGTATCGCGGCAAATTCAAGGAGATCAGCGGATTCATCGTGGAAACTTTACCCGAAGTTGCAAGTGCTTCTAACGTGATTCGTCAGGACGGTTCGTGATCCTAATTTCGCTGTTTGACATTCGTCACTTTTCGTGACTTCTGTTCGACCCAGTTCTAGTTCGTGAACTTTCTCAAGGCAGACTAATAGCAGCTGGTCAGGATGGCGTACAAGATCCTGCGAAACTTATCGAACGTCCCATGATTATTGAGATTAATTTGGCCGTCACGCGAACGGCAAACTATCAGTGCGCACGAAGTTCCTTGAATCGATTACAACGTAAATTCGGACGGTATAAATACATAGTAGCCAGAGTGAACTAATGTACTTAAGCTGTAGATTTATCGGGAAGAAGAAAATTAAGGAAAGCCAATTGGAGGAATTCGATTATTTCAATGGAATTACTCGAGTGCAAAATAGATTGCTCCATCGAGTTGTTAGACAAAATTGTAACTTAATTTAAGGATGCCTGTATTTATGGAAGCAAACTTTATAAAATAAACTCTTCTTTCGTCTGTGTTACTTTGAATCCATAGAAATAAGAGAAAGAACAGCGAGGAAGCAGAAACGCATCGGAAACTCAAAATGCCCTGATATTTGATGCTTCGATATTCGTCGATCTTTAACGTCGAGGCCACGATATCCTAATTAATTACTCTAATCGTGTTCTAATCTTTAATTTTCATTTTTAATTAACTCGGTGTTCGCGCAAAAATTCAAAGAACTTTTTTAAAAATGAAATATTACAATGCAACGTATAGCGATGTAATTCTAGAAGCTAAATCTAAAAAGTAACAAAGTGGTCACGTCCATATTCTAAACTCGAGTACTCGTTCTATCGAGAACAGATGTTGGCGAGGGCATGTATCGTGGTTAAGAAAAACGGAAACCGCATAGTTGATATGGCTGCATTGTTTTCCTAAGGTGTGCGGCTGAATTTAAATTTGCAACCGCAGCACGGACAACTCGTGCATACGTGGCCAGCCATAAAACAACGGACACTTTCATAAACGTTATAAATTAGTCGTGCACGAAACTCGAGGTTTTCCAATGTTTCCGGTTTGCAAATGATAGGAAACAACTTGTAACGAGAACACCGTTCTACACGTGTTATTAACGTCTGCATAAAAGTTGATTTTTAAAGACAATTCTTACCAGATTTACCTCGGTTACCCTTTAGCGCACGTTCCTTTAAACGCAACGAGATGGCACGCTATTTAGTAATTTGGAATTTATTTTAATTTTATTTAGTAAATGGAATTAGACACGCGGTCTGTATTAAAACGCGTGAACGGAATGCAAACGTTGGTTGGAAAATGAACGAACGATTTCTAACGCCAAATGATTTCCCATATATTTATTTCGATCTTTTTCGCGGATCGTGACATCCGACGCGACGTTTCCATCTATTTAAATAAAATTCTTTCGAAATAGAAATCTAACAAACGTACGTTTCAGTAAAATCGTATCGAAAATAAATATATCGACAGTTTAAAGCGTCACCTAGGATTTTGCAACGTCTCTATCGACTCGCGAATCTCCGCGCGGCTCTTGTGCACCCTATGCGTCACAAATCACGGGGTATTCGCGCAACGAAAAATCCACGCGAGAAACGAGAGGCGGAAGATCTCCGACCGAGGGCAAGAATTACGAGAGGGCAGAGCCGACGGATCCAGAACAAAATCGATAAGCGTCGTGCGACCATGAATCAACGCCGATGTGTTTAAACCGCCCGACCTGCGGGATTTGGCAAAGGATCCCGCTGGATAATCTCGACGAAACCACCACGGGGATTCGCCTGTGCTAGACAACACATGCGGAAAGAATCGACCAACCCTGGCCACTGCTGACACAGCTGAACCTTACGTGTGTACAGTTCGATAAAGAAACACGCGTCTGAAAGAACGAACGTAAAGAAAAATATCTATATTTAATTTATTTAATGCCAGGATTTTCAACGACTGGAGCGACCAACGGTGGACGTTGGGACAGGCAAACTTTTCGCGTCTCGAGTCGAACGAGGGAACACAAATGCGAAATGTCGTACGCAAAGATAGATATTCGTTTACTTTGTCGAATGCCGAAACTTGAAATAAACAAAGTTCGATAAAGAAACTGAAATTGTGGACTGAGGAACGAGTATGGAGAGAAAAATAATAAGGAAAGCGAGAAATTTTGAACGAGATAAACTCGAGCAGAGCTTAATATCGCGACGTATCTTCTTCCGTCCTCCCCTTTTCACCTGTCTTCTCGAGTTTCAAATGCTCTTACAAATTTTTTCGCGTTTTTTATGCTTGGTCGTTAGGTACAATCTCGTAGTTGATCTTGGGAAACGGCTACGGGAGGATGATATATTCGTTCGGGTCTTAAAATTCGGGGTGAAATATTGTTTCGGGTTGAGTAAAGAATCAATGTATCACGGGGTTAAAACCGTAGAGAAATTTTGTGAACTGACACTTTACAAGTACAAATAACATCGTGAAAAACGAACGACTTAAGAATTGACGGATATAATCGCAAATACATTATATACATTTCACACGCTGATAAATCTGTTTTCCTTGTAATCGCAAAGGATTAATTTTTAACAATGTAAGGAATGTAAGAAGAGACAATGCCAAAGAACATAAATAGCAACTTGTGTATTATCAAGGTATTGGCATAGTCGGGAAAGTACGAGAAAACCGTTGTTTCGGAAGATTCTTCGATATTTCTCCACTAAGGAGATTCGTTTTGTAGAAACAACATACATGGACGCGTGCCCTCCGTCCTCGTGATTCCGCGTGAACGCGATGATGAATCCGATATCATCCAGTGATCGGACGAGCAAAGTGACGGCTTCTCGGCCGTATTCGAGGATTCGTGTACTACGATTCGTATAGAAAGATTCAGGAACGAAGAGTCAGCGTTTAATTAAACGTTACAACAACGTATACAATACGACGCTAGTAACGAGTTATTAATTGTAAAATAGTACTTAATAATCTGCAAAGAAAATTAAGAAAACGGTAGAAAATGTAGAAAATTTAAATTTGCCACGAGGTAGAGTATTTAAATTACGGATTACTCGAGTAAAAAGGAGTCGTTTCAAACTTCGTTCTTAGACCGCTCTGTACATTGGAAACATTTCCCTTTCGCGTGGACTCCCTACTGCTAGCGTACGTACGTTTTTCCAAGGTAGTCGTACTTTTGAAGCTGGAAACGGTCCAAGGAGCGAAGGAAGAGATTCTCGGTCGAACCTTGGTCGTTAGATACACGTATGCGTCACCGATGACGCGTCGTTTTGTATTTAATGCCGCTGTGGGATAAAATATTCGGATTACATAACATCGCAACATTGCATAACGTCGGTTTACAGACCAACAGTCCCGTTTCGCAAGCTTTACGAGAAAGGTAAACGATGTCGGCTCTTGGTAAGCTTAAATCCACTCGGTTGAACGAGTAAGACGCCACCTGCTTTTAACCCCCTGCATTTCGCGTGCTACGATAACGATTGTAAATGACTTTGATAACGGTAAAGGATAATATTTTATAAAGTTGCTACGTTTTAACGAGATTCGATGGAAAATTTCTTTTCGACAAATCGAGAGATCGATCGTCGAATTGAGAAATCGGCTAGTTCTTTTCGGAAACGGATACTAGATGTCGGATATTTTCGCGCTTTATCGTGCAAAAATAAAAATTTTAATTATCGCGGACGTTCGACGAATCTTTTATCAGCAAGCTCGAAATACAGTAATTTGAACAGTGACTATAAAATTCCGAAGAAAATTTGAATTCCACTGCTACCATCTCCGCTCGATATTTGCTGCGTTAAAACGACATTTCACGCTTTCGTGCGAATAATTCGAAATCCTGGTCCACTAAATTTCCATCGAAGGATTATATTTTGCGCTACGAATCCGCTGACCTGTCTATAAATGCTTAATACCGGTTGTCGACGATAAAACCAACGAAATCGGCGGTAGTACCGTGATTCGTCGCATTATTCGCATTATTAAGCCGGTACGATTTGTATTCGTCTGGCAGTCTGCGTGGAATTTGTACGCGGGCAAAATGGAGAAATCTTCGAGAAACATACCGTGGATCGGGCCTTCCTCCGCCCTCTCGTTCTTTCGTTTCTGGATTTCCATATTCTTAAACCACATTGGCGGATGCATGATAAACTTCGAATTGGAAATGGTCCAGAAGACACCGGATAAAAGATCGCATCTGAATTGTGCCGCGATCGTTAGATGCACTTACGCGTGAACAACGACCTATTGTGAATATATATGTATATCGGCTCGGTGAAATATTGCGAACTAGAACTAAAATGGTTTCATCCGTTATTGCATTTGGGACGACTCGATTTCCCGTTAAATAAATTATTTTTCTACGCGTTTCAAGATACTCGAGTACGTTTACTCTGACAACTTGTAAAATCACGGAGTTAACCCCACTACGATCCTCGAATTTTTTATATCTCAATCTCGCTTTCGTTTCGATCGAGAAAGCACGTTTAAATCTATTTTAGGAAATCTACGGCATTACGTGGAGACGAGAACTCGCGCGTATCCATGACGATTCTTTCTCTTCTTTCTTCGAGTTACCGAGTTTTCGACCGAGAAGCCGACGTCTACGACGAACGAACTCGTCGAAGCGTACATGACGAAATCAGGAAATATACAGGGATAGGGGCTTGCAAAAGATCGGGCCAAAAGATGCTGATTTTAAAACTTTCTAATTTTCCAATTTTCCGAATTCATAAATCCGTTTCATCGTGTGCATTTAATCTTACTATTGTGCGTACAAGATAATAAAAACGAGCAGATACGAAGAAAACTATTTGGCGATATGTCGAGACACGCTTGACTCGGTGTTTACCGCTGTATCCTAACGTTACGTAATGAAATTTCAGCACCGTCCGTCCAGATAGTGGACGCCCTGGGTGAACCGCTGAGAGACAAGTACTACGAGGCTGACAGCACCATCGAGCTATTGTGCGTCGTGCGTCATATAGCGATGCAAGTCCAGTACAGCGTCGTTCAGTGGCTTCACGGCAACAGAGTTCTCAATTACGACACGACGAGAGGCGGTATCAGGTAAACGTTTCGTTCTTTTCACGCTCTCATTCGCTTAAAAGCTCGAAGAGCTACCGGTTTTTCGAAAACTAGCGTTATTTTCCTCGATGGGAAAATTCTAATCGATTCGGTTCTACCTTTGCCTCACGTGGATCGATCGGTAAACCCAGAATTCATAGAATTCATAGAATTAGAATTCATCGTCCAAATCGCGCGTTTAATTTAAAAGACTCGTAGACGTTACGACGAAAGAAAACGAGAGAAGCAAAACTAGCGAAACTAATTGCAAGAAATTTCTCGTTCATAGTTTTAGGCGAACGCGTGTGCAACTCTTTCGTACGATAAATATGCAACGTGTATCTGCGCGACTGTGGATATATATTGAAAATCATATTTTACGAAGACAATTAGGAAAATGGAATCTGGCTAGAAAATTATTTTACGTACTAATTGCAAGTATTATAACGAGTACCATTCTCTGGACATTTTACATATCTCTGCATATTACGCGCATTCTGTACACATTTGTCACGCTTCAAATTTCCGATGCATGCACAAAAATCCACAGTCTAGCGACGTATTATTTGTAAAACTGGTATCTCGTATATATAACTCGTATCGTATAACTTAATGCTTGAAAGCCAGATTCCAAATGTAATCGTAAAGAGGAAATATGGAAGAGAGAACTGGAATCGACCGTGTGAGAGCCATAACTCGATACAGCTGCGTATATACGTCAATCCTGTGCCAAGCATCTATCCTTCACGCAAGTCAAACACGACAAAATACCGTGGCCCATTCGATGCGCAGCGACGCGTCTCTGATACGACGTTTGAAATCCGGTCTCGATTCGCAGAGTCTGATTGCGGCGGGGGCAAAGGCAAGCGTTCGCGCCACTCGCTATTCCGTGGATAGGAGCGCGATCGTGACGGCCTCGGCTAGTCATAAATCATAGCCAGGTGAACGCGCAAGCGGTCGACGATCCACGGGACGCCGCGGTAAGTTCTAATCCAGTGTCGACGATTCTCACTGCCTTTCCACCCCGTAGACGCACCCACTCCGCTAATCCTCGTATAAACTACCACGCAGCCTGGAAAATCACCGGATCCCGCATCGTCGAACCGAGTCAGACGCCGCGATGAAACACCGAATGTACACGCGTATACGTCGAATAAATTTGCATAGTACACGTGTACGGTGTCGCTGAAACGTAAGCAACTCGCGTACTTTTCCCTCTTGCGTTACGCGATCGATCGCGTCGATTATCGTTTATGCGAGTACCAAACTATGTTTTTTATACGATCGGAATGTTCTCGTTAATTTCTTTTCCTTCCGATCGGCGTCTTATAAAATATACCACGAATATTTCATTCGCGCTAGTCGCAGCTTTTTTCTCGGTGTAATTGGAAACAAACGTTTAAAGGACGTTTACGATTTGCAAAGACCGTACGATTGGAAGGTTTAACGATGCCTACATCGCGTATATTTAATAATTCTTAATCCGTAATATCTCTTTTAAACGAAAGGACAGAATTGTTTAATGCATATTTGTCATTTAAATTAATTTCTTATTCCATCGAGTATAATGCACCAGCGTATAATATAAACATGAATATGAGAGGAAGAATACGAAAAGTATAAATAAAAAGCTCGTAACTTACAGCTTCCAAAGTATACAAGTATTTTATAGCGTGTGGCTGATGACGAAGACTCAGCAAACTTGCGTTCTACGCTTTTACGATTTATAAAAGCAGAATATTTTACGCGTGTATTTGTAGTTGGAAAAGGATCGAATACGTAATATCTCCAATATCTCGAGCTTCAATTTCCGGCATCCACTTGTTTATAAATCCGCATCGCGAGGCACGTTGTACGCGTAAAATATCCGAAATTTTGTTACAATTTTAGCGACTCTCTTCTAATCGTAGGAATCTGGAAAATGATAGAAAACTCGTATTAAGTCCGTTTATCTGCGGGACCTCGCGAGTGGCTTGTCAGTGAATAACACTGATCCGAACGATCGTTAACCTTTGAAAGAGAATGTAGTGGCGCGAAGGAGAATGTTTCTCGCGAAAATGTTGTCGATGTGGCCGACAGCTCGACAAAGTTACAACCCGGCAGACACGCTGGCTGTCGGTAAATGGAATTAGTTTGCACTGTGCACCCGGTACATAAAGGCGCGTGTACATAGAGACTTGGCCTCTCGTTTCAGAGCACCCTCGTGGTACGACCACTTCAGCCCTCGTCGTACGTAGCGCAACCACGTGGCCCGTGGAAACCGCAGACCGTAAACACATTTCCGCAGTAACTACCGCTCTGCCGCTCGTTATTTTTCTCCGAGAAAGTAAATGTCCATTTCCGGCCGCGTGCCACCGCGCCGCAGACCCGTCGCATCGTCGCGTCGATTCGAAAAACGTAAAACGGCAAATTATTTGTCGCCGAGATTATTCGCCTAGATTTTAATTAACTAGGTCCGAAGATAGCGAAAATTTGCGTCGTCGTCTTAGCCCCCCTTGACCCAACCTAACCCCAGCACACAAGAAATCGTGTCAGACGATGTTTCTCCACCTGTATCGTCGATACGTACATACGCGTTTTAAAAGAAAAACGATAAAAATGCATTTTAGAAAGGTTTCTTCTTTCGTAATCTTTTTTCAATAATTTTTTACTCGACTTGCTTTACGATCCTCTGCACCTGTGATCCTCGGACACCATGAATAATAATCGTAATCATAATAAGACTAAAATAGTAGTTTTAAAATTATTCCACCCTTCTATCGATAAAATCTCTCGGAGCTAATCGGTTAAACGTGCTCGCCGGGAGTTATAGTTTAAAACAATAGCCGGCGCGATTAAATCATTCGTACGCAGGGACGCGTTAATAGGGTTGCGATTCAATCCCGTTTATTATACATTCACCGGAGGCGAATGGCTCGCAGGCGTCATTTTTCATAGCGTTAAAATTACAGAGTCGTATCGTGCAGAAATTTACAACCCCGTGATACGTTAATTCCATTACTTGGACGAGTACGTGTTCTGTTTCTCAACCGACGCGACAACGCAATTTCGTAAGAAAGCTGGAACGGTGAACAACGGCAAGAAAGAAATTGTTGGATGAAAAGGAAGAGAAATGGAAAAAAGTATCCCAACTGCCGGTTTATTAACGTGAAACTGAAAGAAGCCAGGTGAAACGGTTGAAACCTCGATGGTTGGTTGCTTCGCACTACGGATCAACGAGCAATCGTGCTCGAACGAGCAGATAACGAACGGACAAATTGCGCTCGCCAAGTTTTTCAATTAAAGGCAACCCCCTGTTCCGTATTTCGCGGAGAATAGAACGAGACAACGGCTACGGTATTTATCGTTTGATTTAAACGAAGCGTCGAATAAAGAGTATATATTATTTGTTAAAAATCTTGTTTGATTTAGAAAGGTAGGTGCATCGCAAATATCCGTAGATCAAGACACCTACTGGTCTCGTACAAACGACGATTATTGAAAGTCAGATCGTCGGAGAAACGACGAATAATCGGTTGGAATTTTGTATTCTTATAAATGTAAAATTTAAAACATCCTGCGGAATCGCGTGAAAGTTATATCGCAAGATAATAAATAAACGAGCGTATGTCGATCCTCGCTACATAACGAGCGACGCCTCAGCGACAAAAGTCGCTAACGAATCGAATAGGTAACTGCGAGAAATCTACTGATCGTGAAACACAAATGTGGGAAACGAACGACTATTTTTAAAAGCTATTCGTACGCTGCTCTCTGCTGAAAACCTTACTGCGATAAAATATCATAAGGATTCGATTTCCACGTAACATTGTGTTTTATAATACGGTGATATATTTTATAATGCGATATTTCGAGAATTCGAGTCTTATGCGTTAGATTGGTTCGTGAAATCGATTTCTACGTACCTTTGCGGTCTTTCAAAGGTTCGATTTTTGCATAACCTAGTGCTTTAGAAACTCGTCTGCTACGTGATACTACGCTACATGAAAAACACGGTTTCTACGTAACAATGTATCGTACGTACTTTGAGACCTCGATTTCTATAGAATAGAGTACCTTGAGAATTCAATTCATACATAGCCCGATATTTCTAGACCTCGATGATGTCTGTATTACACAATGTGAACATACTTTGAAAGCTCGATATCTACACGGTTCGTCATTTTGACTTCAAGTTTGGATAAAACACGGAAAAATGTATTTCTCGTGCCTACGAGATTGCTAGACTCGAAAGAAATTGAAAGTTTTATTAGCTTCTTCGCCGAGAGATTGATAAGGGGCGTGGAAAAAGCGATGGTAATGAAAAGAAATCGAACGAGCATCCGATGCACACTCGAGTCCTTTTCGAAGCTTCTTCTTCCCAAAGAATATCAAATCTTTTATGACTCACATACTATAACCTACGGATAATCAAATATTTCATTGCCGAATCTTAAGATTCGTCGTTTTCGTGTACGATCACTGGGCTTTATCGTAAAATGGTTCGATGAAAATACGATAAAAGTTCGTTTCTACGTACATTTCGAAGACGAACCGAACGAGCCAAGTTGCGTGTACCTTTGTCCAATCACGATCAATAAGATGCAACGTAAGATGTATAAGTAAGATGAAAGAGAATAAATTACTTTACGCGTTCTCTTTCGTAAGCATGTACATAATCTCGAAACGATGAACGCTGGCGATTTATTAAGTTACAGCGCCTTATCATCGTGAAGAGTTCTTTCGCAACGTAGATGCGTTCGTGTCCGCAAGGAAATAACATCGTTTCTTGCCAGATAGATCGAGCGGACCAAACAGATCCTGTTACGGAATAATATCGCTCGTGTACGTTCTACTTGCTTTGACAAATTATTCGGATATGGTGGCACATTTTTCCCTTTGCTTTTTGTTCGTTAATAAGGTAGCCAACGAATATAAAGACAACGAGGAAATTATTTTTTTTAGATAAATAATAAAAATTATAAAGTTAATAAAGTTATTCGATAATTTATCCGCTATGTAAATCAATTTCGTGTTGGCATTCTCCCCTGACAATCTCTCTTTCCAATTTACAACGATGCAGGAAAAATTGACTCCATTATAGCTATGCTATATTACACGATGTTCAAAATTCCATATGCTAATGCTTTCCAAATAGAAGCTGATTGCATTTATACTTTCCCAATGCATATCAATATGGAATTTTAATTCGATTCGAGTTTAAATACGTCGCGTGCGATATTACCAAGAATCGTAATAATTTCGTAATCGATTTCACGCGTCACCGATCTATATAAATTGTAAATAACCATTGTATGGATACGCGTACACGGTGTATCACATTTTAATCATACGAATAGTCGAAAAGAAAATACATACCTCTTTTCACCTCCAGGCAAATGTTTAGCCACTGCGATACTAAAATACTTTTCATAGGTTTTTCTTTGAAAAAGGAACGACCAAGGGCAAAGATCAAGTGATTAAGGGAGAAATAAAGAGAACGTGAGATTTGTTTTATCACGAGTGTCGTTCGAACGAGAGCCTGGCGTTATAAAAACGCGTGATAAAAGAACAAAAAGGCAAGGAGGATGATAAAGGGTAGAATAAAAGTCTGCAGAACGATCTCTCAAAAATCGGACTGGCCATTTTTCGCGTACGCTTCCGGCCGCTGATAAAACGCCCGTTTCGCCCGGAAGTTCCGTTAAAAATTGAAATTTCAACACCGCTGTACGTATGTTCCAGCGTGAAAACGGACCTAATGGAAGAGGGGGCCAATTCGACACTCAGCATAGCGAGGGTGGGACCAGCTGACAGCGGAAACTACACGTGCCATCTCACCACCATGCCCGATCAACCTGCCACTGTTCACGTGCACGTGCTCAACGGTGAGCATAAACGTTTTTCTACCGTCTTAGAGCCGGCGCTTGAAAATTTTCCAACGTTCCTAACTCGATACGTAATTTAAGAACCCTTGCACATTCCTATACGCATCATAGCAAAAGGAATTACATGTATTTGAAATGATACAAGCGTAATATTCACTCTTGTCCGTGTTACAGTCGCTTCGTTTCGAGAGCCATTCTCACAACTAACGCGTAATTAAGCATCGAGCGATTTTCTACGAACTTTTACATCGTGCCAAAGAATAGAAAATTTTTGCTCTAACAACTATATCGTTATCCTCTTTTAAATTCGAACAGATTAAAATCGAACAGATTCGAATTACGCTATTCCGCCTAGTATTTCGATGAACGGTATCGCAATAGTTGGGTTAAGAATTTCATTTACCTGAAATCACGTATTCCGTCGATCATCTGCAGTCGTAAAAAAATTCAACGTAATGTGCATGTAAATTACAGCCGATGCAATATTCATCAACCGCGGCCAATCCAATCCGCGGAAAAGAATTTGAATACTCTCGTTCGCTAATGTTTCGTGTTGTTTATCGATGCAGTGGTTTCCACGTTTGATGTGCGTATTTCATGAATTTTTACAATTTATTTTTTGTTTTCATGTATTTTCCTAATCGTACCGAATTAATAGGAGAAACACAGCGCCAGAAATTCTTGAAAAAAGAGGGAATATTTATATTCCTTTTGATATTCATGAATATTCCAACGATTATTTGAATTTCAAAAAATAAAATCAACAAGTCTACGTAAAGTTTTCTGAAAATATTTTTTAAGAATTAGGTAATTGCATTCGACGAAGATGTAGCGTAAATTTATAAAAAGTTAACAACGTGGCGATTCGTATTCGATGAACCCCGCCGAAAGTTTTCGACGTAATGCCGAAGGATCGCGAAAACTTGCACCACGATCTTTATGAGGCTGTCAAAATGAAAGTCACGTGGCCGACGTTAAATATCGTGTGATATTTATGCATATTACGCTTAATTACAGGCGTGCGTGACGAAAGAAGCGAACAGAATATCAGGGAAGGTAACTTCCACGACGCCGCGCCGCCGTTAAATCGCAACAAACTCGCGCGCGACGCACAAAAATCCTGATAAGATATGCGCGACTTATCACCGCCGATAAACTCTCGCTACCTAACGATAAGGTTCAGCCTCTGCGCTAAATAAAACGATCGAAACACAGAAAGTAAGATGCGTTTCTTATTGAAAAATTTAAACGACTTTCGCAACTTTAAGCAAAGAAAAAAGAAAATAGAAAACGGTATTTTTAAATACCGAGCAAAACGCGAATAAAACATGTGAAAAGCATAAAAACGAAAATTATATAAATCGAGATAGTAAACGAACGTTTGATTTATGCCGTGGAATTTGGCTTTAGATCGCAATTGATCCGCTGGAACAGCGTTTTTTGGAAAAAATTCTTCAACGTCGAAGAGCCTTTGACATTTGTATTCCCTTTTGTCCTTTCTGGTGGTGCTTTATTCCCTTTCCTGTTTACCGTCGATTGAAATTCAAAAAGAGAGAACGTAACGATGAGTCAGCGTTGCATAACAGAGGCCCGTGTTAATTGGTTTTTAGCTCTGTCGTTTACCCCATTTCGTAGCTATTGCTTTTTACAAAAGAGCCGGTTATATCGGGATTTACGACAGCGAATTCCATCAAGACCTGACTAATTCACGGTTATATCGCGCGGGAAAACGAACACGCGCCACTCGTTCGGTCGTTCCTGCGTTATGCTAAATGCAAAGCGTGCTTTCGCCAGGTAAAAGTTTACTCGTAGCTCGTAGCCTTTCAAAGTTAGGAAACTTACATCGTGGCGCTACAGCGATGCTCGCAATGCCCGCAGGATGCGTCCACAACAACAATATCTATCCTCGTTGCTCTTCGTGCAAAACGCGCTCTATCTTTCATTTGGAAATTGTTGAGAACTAAATTTCGCTACTTTCCTCGTGACATCTTTGCTTCGTTCGATGTAAAATACGTCAGGTAGAAACAAGAGTACGTAACTTTTTGCAACAACGGGATGCTAATTAAAAATAGTCTCTGCGTCGTTTGCCATATACATCGTCGAGTAAATCTACGTAGAAATATGCAAAGGTTGTTTTCGAATTTTTTGAAGAACACTGGCCACTTTTGTTCTAATCCGATATTATCCTGCTCTGACAACAGCGCATTCTTAACATTTTCGCGCGGTCGTACCAACGTGTACGACTCTTATCAATTTCTTAAGCCGATATAGTCGAAAGCTAACAGTGTTTGAGTGTACGTAACGATGTTTCAGGAGAAAGCTTAGCCGAACTCCATCACGGATGCGCAAAAAGCGTGGGCGGTAGCGGGTCGTTGCTACTGCTTCTGTTCGTTCTCCTGGGCCGGATACAACAGGTGTTCAGATGAAGGATCGACGACGCTTCGTCGCCGTATCGACACGGCGCTGCACGAATAACGATATGGACTTTTATATTATCGTTGAAGAATTGAGCTAGCCGTGTGGACGCGTAAACGACGAACGAAGGAAAAAAGAGCGACGAAAGAAATGGATGAAACGAGAAGAGGTGACATAGGGCGGGGAAAGTAAAACGTGGATCGAAACGTTACGAGAATAGACGAGAGAATAGGCTACTGCGAGAAAGGGAAAGGTTGGCAGCGTCGATCCGCCGCCATTGTCTTTCTGCGTCGCTACACGCCAGTTTCCGGTTCACCGTTTGTCCTCCATGGCCGACTCGATCTCGTGAAGCGCCCGACTCTCGCGTCTCTGTCCTTCCGATTGCCGGAACTCTCGGATCGTAGTCGAAAGAATTAGGCAACCCGCCGAGGTTCGGAGGAAGGAATTAATTCGTCGATAGCGCTGGTTGCTAGATCGATCAGATCGTATCGAAGGTGAGAGAGAAAACGGGCTTAGAGATTCGATTTGGAAATTCAATTTGGAAATTCGATCGGCTGACTCGTAGTCTTCCTGTTTTCGCGCGTCAGCTACGTCATGTGCCTTTATATTCAGTTTCGAGAACGAAGTCAAGCGCGAAGAGTTTGACCGCGAAGTTGCGTCGTACGTAAACGAAGATGGAACAAGGTGAGGACGACACGTGCATATCTTTTGCGTTCTACGTTAACTCGTGTAATTGCACGTTTTCGTTTATTTTAGCGATCGTGTACGATAGATCTTTGTATCGTGGAATACATAATCAAAATATAATAAAAATAGTACATAGGGGTTTAATACGTATAAAAATGTTGACATATCTTGTTATTCGGCACTCGAATAGACTGAACTACTAAACTAATCGAAACGGATGTAGATCAGTAATAAACTTAAAACGTTCACCGTCTACGATTCCAGAGAGAAACGTCCTCGCTTTCGCGTCGCATCTCTATTACCTTAAATTTCTTAGCACGGATGGTGAACGCGTTAAGTTTCGATTCATCGGATCGATCATCTCATACTCGCAGCCATACTTTTTCGTTTATTTCCTGGAGAAATGTCTCTTATTTTTCCACTTTATATAGGACCGCCTTTATCATCGAGCCAATGCGAAAAATACCAAAAGATTTCCAAAGGATCGTCGATAGCGATCTAAAATTGTCTCGGCAACCAGAATCTACCGATAGCGAAAGAATCAGCTTTGATCTCCGGCGCGGCAAAAGAGAGCCGCTGCCGGCGGG